GGGGGCCGCTCCCGGGGCGAGGGGCGCAGGCAGGAGCCTGCCCGCCGCCCTCGGTGGGCTCTGGGGTTGCCTTCAGGGTAAGAAGCCGAAGCGGTCTGTGAGGCTGTCCCGTTTGGTACGGCCCCTGCCGCACTACCGCAAACAAAGTGCTGCAGCAAGATGGTATCAAACACCAGAAATCCTCCGCTCGTGGCTCACCCGCCAGAAGAGGGAATAATTCAATGTGTTTTAATAGTTGAGATTCCCCCCCCCCCGTTCCCGAGTCTGACTAAGCCGGAAAATTAGTTTTCAAAGACAAAAGCCCTCACAAAAGGTCAGATGTTACATATGGCACGAACTTGACACATCTTCTTTACATGCCTCGGAACAGCAGGAAACCCATCAAAGAAGGCACTGTTTACAATACTTGAATACCTGCCCAATTTTCCGTGATTTGAGGATACCCTCGAAATAACAATAATTAAAACTTACAGATGTACAGAATCCTTGTTATATGTTATTTACACAGACAGCAGTGAAGTAACAGCCTTTCAGAAACTGTAGGAAACACTGAATCCAAAGTGTTTCATAAACACCAGTCTAGCAAAAAAAAAAAAAAAAAAAAAAAAGAAGTAAAATTCCCAAAGGCACAGGAGGGCAGCAAACAACAAACAAAAAATGGAAGAAACCACCGTCACTACATTTTATGGGACAACCTTTCAAATAATTTAAGAGATTTAATTGGGAGGAGTGGGGAAACAACCAGGCCATATCCTCATTAAGTAATGCCAACTATTTAAAAGGAATCGAACCTGTGAAATGCAAGAAACTTCATCAACTGCCGAAACTGATACTTGCTACATTTCACATGGTGTATTTATTTTTTCTTACCTTAGGTCATCTGTACCTAACTAGGCAATCTGTACCTAAATGGAAAATTAAAGGCTTAGAGTGCATTTGAAAAAAAATAACCAAAACAAAACCAGAACAACAAACCCACATGGTAACAAATTCTGAAAATATTTCCTGTACAAGAAAAAAAAAAACCAACAAAGAAAACAAGGTTTGTAAATCAAGTGTGAAAACAAGTGCTGTTTCAAACTTTAAAACCTAGTAGGAGGCCACAGCCCTCAAACATCTGCAAACTGTACAATCAATTTTCGTAGCTATGTGCAGAGCTCAGTCTTAAGCACATCATATTCAAGATCAGCAACACATCACGGTTAAACCGGACAATGGCGACGCGCTAAAGAACAGGCTTCATCCGCGCCTGTGGCCAGCTGTACTGTAAAAATCAGGCAAGCAATTTCTTTGTTCTCTTCACATGAGGGAACGTCGTACAAACCCCAGCAAAACAGGAATTACTAGGTTTTCCGTGTACGACTTAGAATTTAAGTTATCTAATCATACAGTCAAGCAAAAGTCTGCAGTTTTACTTTTCAAAAAGTTTCGTCATATATGCTTTACCTTCCTGGACCATCACTACAACCACTTTCACAACAGAATTAAACTCTAAAAAATAAATTGAAAAGGCAAATATGCACAGGCATTTTGTCTCGCTCCGTTTGAGTCCTTTACTTATCAGCTCAAGAGCATGAATTTCAGACATGGAGTATCTGTTTAGTCCGACATTGTCCAACACCGCGCTGCCAGCCAGCTGGCCGGGTCCGATCCACACTTACTACACCGTGCAGTCCGTGTGAAAATACACGCAGACTGCGTTGTTAACTGATCTTGAATAGAAGTGATTAAAAAAACTGACATCAAAGGGCAAAAGGACATTTCTATTTACACGGGAGATAAATCTTGTAACTATCAGTCAAAGAGTTTCAGCACCAGAAATTTAGCAGAGTCTTATTTTAGGGGACTGAAGTTATTGACCAAATTCTTGCTCATTTCCTCTTGTACTACTCCCATGTACAGGGTACGCTCAAAGGCTTTTGATGGATCTTAAGACAGGTGAAGCTTTGACATCTGAATGCGGTAATGAACAGCCAAATTCCAGGCTAAGAACATTAAATGAATGCTATTACATTCTGCTTTCTCTATGCCACTCCATACATGGCAGTATAACAACTTCAGTTTCTGTTTAGAGACTTAACTTCGGGATTTTTTTTAAACTTGAGGGACTTTCTATATTCACAAATTTTACCTCATCGGCTATAGATACAACAGAAGTCCAACCAAGTTTGATCTTGCCCACGTGTACAAGATCACTCTGGTTAAGGTACCGCATTGCAGAAAATGATTGAAGACCAAACCATGCTAATATGAAGCTGTAAGAAATAAGCTGAAGTTGACTGCTTAAGCAATAAACTTTTATATAGCTGAGGCCCAAAGAAGGGGAAAGGTGGAAGAGAAGGGAGGTGTGTGAAGATGTCAGCCACGGCAATATGAGCTAGACTGACAAACAAGTAAATAGTATTTTCACTAACTACTGGGTGAGACCAATGCAGAACAGAAAGGTAGATCACCTGCCGAGTCGGGGAGGCTGCCGGAGGCAGCGGGATAACCGGGCCATGGCAAAAAGCCGCAAGTGACCTTTGAACTGTTCCACTGCCCAGGACGGATTTGATTTCCAAGAGAATCCTCTGAAAACAAACTTGGCTGCCCTTCGCAGCGTGCTGCTCATCCTCCTGTTGTCTCACCTGGGTTACAATACTACAGCCCCTTTTTGACTTGGTATGCTTGACTGGCGTAAGGAATTCCCCAGATAAACACTGGCACTGCATTTTTGTGCTGGAATTTTACAAGTTCTATACATGCATACATTTCTTCAAATAAAAATGTTAGAAACCCTGGGTTTAAATCGAAACTTAAGCTTCACATGAATTTGTGTGGCTACAGCGTAATGACTAGGTGCATCCGTGTGTTCTCTTGGGTAGCATACACTGCAGTAAGGAGGAATCTAAGAAAGACTTAGGGTTTCACTCTTATGTGTTTTGATATGTGTGTTACTAGCCATCCCACAATTTCTGAAAACTTTCCCCTTGTAAACACACATGTTTTCATTTGCAAGTGAACTCACGACGGTGCCTGAATTCTGTTCCACATCGTCTGCCTTTTGGGAGGTTCAATGCAGGCTACATACTAAGCACACCTTTGCATCTTCACATTTTGTTTCAAAAATAAGAAAGAGTCCTGGCATCAGCAGTTTGTCTGCTTACTGTGGCATGGCCATACACAAATGTAAATTCAAAGCTGTAGATTTATCAAGACTTACAAACATACTGTAAATCCTTGACGCTTGCAATTCTTGAGAGTGGACCAAGACAGTACCTACCCAGTTAAAAATGTGCTCTGTACAGTAGATGTGGGAATGTTTTTATGAAGAATCTGATGTTTTTAAAACTATAAAAATAAAACAGCTGGCTTACAAGCCACTATAGTAATTCAGGATAAAAACTGTCATACTTCCAAAACACATCAAGGACATTACATTGCAGAATTCCCCAAGACTTCACCTTTTTACTTGCCAGTTCCTAACACTCATGATCTTTGTATAATAATGTATTTGTCTGACCTTAAACAAAAGTTTACTTCCAAACATCCAACGCCATTTACAAAAACTGTTGGCTACTTCAAAAGTTCCTTTGTTACAAAAGTGGCAAGTTTAAATGTAACAAAGTATGCTCGTGTATCGTTCTATTGTAACAGGAATCACATCCTACCTACAGGGTCTGACCTCTGAATTTTTGACTTCATCTATTCTGTGGTGAAGATCCATCAGTACAGCATATGACGTAACACGAAACACAAGGCTGATGTCGTATGTCTGCGAGACAGAGGCACACACCAGGAGCAAGAGTGTACTGGCACTTATACAATTCTTACTTCAACTGGGTAGACGGGAGTATGATTCTGAACCATGGACGCCGAGGCAAAGTTCTGTAAGTTGTAGCTACAGGCCTCTTTTAGATAATATTGCATCATTTAAAGTCCAACCTAAAATATGGTCCCCAGTAACAGTTCGATCATTCCAGTTCAAAAAGGCCTTTGTTCACACTTTCTATTTGAATAAGAAATTAATGATAAGCTGCAGCAGAACCAGGAGTAAAATGAAGACATAGTGCTTAAACTGCAAGAAATGGTAGTCCACAGGTGGTGAATTAGAAGTGACTCTGTTTCGTAGAGCCATAATGTCTCTGTAAGATAGAAAATAACATCCTGTAAATTACAATCTAGACAATTTGGCATTTTCTAGTATGTTAAGTAGTTTAAAGGCATCAAGGCTCTAAAGTAGAAAGATACACACCAGCCTCCAAGGAAAAAAAGCTAGAAAATTAGTATTCTCTAAACCATTTTAAAGCATTTTAGGTAGTACTACCTCTTAATGTCTTCTTGTGTCTCCTTTATAGATTCAATGGCACTCTGCAGTTCACCAAGGTCTGCCCCTTTTTTCCTTATTCTCGTATTATGCTTCAGAAGTTGCGCTGGAAAGATACAAAAGCCAGATGTAATTTGCAGAAGTGACTGCTAAGTCCAAAAAGTAACAAAGCACTAATGACAAACTCAACCGGTTGCAAAAATGAGGAGAAAGTTTTCTAACTAAGCTTCTACTGAAAACTAAAACTTTATTTCTGTCACCTGTAGCACAGCACAGCAAGGGAAGCACTTGAAGTGTCTTAAAACACTCACTATATTGTTTAATTTCTGCAAGCATTATCAACAACAACAATCTGCCTTCTAGCAACATACTGATCTACAAATTAAAACAATTAACCTGGTTTTAAGAAAGGCAAGAGTTTACAAACACAATTTTTTTCCCGGATACTAAATATGTGCAGCACTTAAGCCTACCTACACTACAGGTTTAAATGGACAGCAAAGTTTGCAATTAAAACCGTAAACCATTCTGCTTCTTTTGTTTTTCCAGAATGTGCTTCATGTTGGATAAAACTGTGATCTAAAACGTGCATTATTTCACAACACAAACATTGAGATAAGAAGAGTATGTGTGACTACAGAACTCTGTTTCACTGTCAAATAAAGTTATTACTTCTGTATGCAAGAGTATCTTTTCCTACCTTCGCTCCCAGAGGAATCCTGGTTATCAGGCTCCGGGGATGAGAAACCACACTCCCCTTTCTTCTGACTGGCTGGCTTTCGTTTGACTTTTGGAACATTAACCTACAATTGATAAACTTATGAATTATTTCCAGGGAACCAGAACTGTAGCAAAGCAGCACATCCTAACAGTAACAGTCAAAAGCACAGTATCTAACAGAAATCCAAGTTAAAATTCTTGATGTATAAGCAGTCTGAAGTTTGTGCATCTTCCCATTTAAGGGAAAATACACGTTAAACTGTTGAGTTCAAGTCTTCATATTTTATATTCCTATCCAATCAAGTAATCTCTACCGCTTAGGATGCCACACAGAAGTGAAAGACAATGCAGTGGGTAAACTACGTGTTTGTAGCATAACAATAGTATTTCCCATCACTCCCAATGCTTTGATGACCTTTATACACATAATGGAATATGTACAAGTCCTTGGATCTTGCTGCACATGCTAACAGAACTGGAACATACCATTGGTGTCCGATGTCGAACTTTTGTTTGGATGGTGCCATCTTTTTCAAATTGGATCATATCATTCAAAGGGTCCCATGGTCTGGTACTAGACAAAGTGAATGTAGTTGATTAATACCGCAGCAATTTAAATCAGAAATATTTTCCTGCTCAGAAACTATTTGCTATGAATGGGTTAAAGCTCTCTCTCCCTATACAGAAGTCAGACACAGAACAAGTGATCCTATCTTCCACCTATAGACCAGTCGTGGACTGAAGGACCAAGAGAGCCAAAAATAAACTTCACATCCAGGTCAAACCCTCACCCAGCTGGTAAGAATACAAGCTATTGTATTAACCAACAATATAATTATGAAATTATCTGGCTAGAGATACACATTTGTCAAACATGGAAAAGTTTTCTGCTTGGTAGGTTATTATTTTTCTGCATGGTAGGTTATTATTCTAGGACTGCAGGGAAATTAGGGGATTGTGAAAACTATTATTATTTTGGAATGTTATTTGTTTTTTCTTTTAAAAGGTGCCTAGGAAGGAGAGGTTAAGAATCAGTCACCTCAAACCTGCTTTCAGCCCAAATTGGTTAATAGTAATCAAGACTGGTTTCAAGAGGCACTAACGAGCTACGCACAGTTTCTTGTTCTGATTTTACAAGAGTGCTTTTCCAAGAACAGGCTGATATACAATTAAAAAATAATAAAAAAAAAAAATCAAGCAAAAGACACATAGCTCACTGGAGAACAGCAAGCAGCCAAAGGCAAAAAGTGACATCCCCACTGATTGCAACCTTTTCAGGACAGAAACTGCAAACCAGCTGCATGTTCTGATGCAGAGCTTTAGTGAGAGCAGATTAAGCATATATTTCCTATCATCTCCTCCCATATGCATTTTAAAACGGTTGTAGCCATTTCAGATGTTGTGAACACAGACCCGCATTTACATCTTAGCTTAACCTGACTTGAATCAAATGTCGCCTAAGGTAGCTTGCTCTCCCAAAGGTCTTTTGTATCTGTAATCCAGATGCCTAAATCCGTAATCCAGATAACTTTGAGGTACTTTTCCTGATGGTTTTACACAGAGTGCAACAGTATGGGCAGTCAATTCGGCTGGACTATTCACAACTCTTCCAACAGGAAGAGGCATCGACAGCACTAGAAGGTTCAAACCAAGAGAGGCTGTTTCACAGAGCATTTAGTCTAGTTGGGGAATTCCCTGCTGCAGGACGTTTTGGGTGGTAAAAGTCTGCACAGACTTAAGAGGAAACCAAGGAAATTCATGGAAATGAAAGCCATTGAGAGTTGCTAAATACACAGAATCCCTGCTTCGTTCCAGGAAACACGATTTGCAAATTTGCTGGAGACATGAAGGGTACTCAGTATTCTTGTATTCTTCTCTGTACACACACTTAGGCCACTGCCCCAGTATTGCTGTTCTTGTACAGAATGATGAAGGGTTCCCAGGTTTAGCCATGGGAATATACTTCCAGCATCCATGGCTTCAGAATTACTTAACTCAGAGCATATAATCTTCGGGTATTTTACTTTTACAATCCCTGCAATATAGAAGTGTACTGGGTATTGAAAAAGAATCAGCAGAATGTAGGTGTTCTGTGAAAACCGTCACTAGTAAAGGGCTCAGCTCCACGCTGACTCTTGCAAGTGTTGGTGAGAACACAGAACGCATCCCAGCAGTCAGGGAGACAGCCACATCTTCATCTGCTGATCCAGATCATCGCACAAAGATCACAGACACTCATGTGCACGGGGCATATCTGACAGCTGAGCAGAGCCACCTGGTCCTACCATTAACCACTGCTGTAAACTTGTTATTCTCAAAGTTATTCTAACATATAACAAATTAATTAAATAGCTCAGTTCAACTAAGCACAGGCTTTTCTGATTGCCAGATGCTAGATTTTCTGATTTCCAGTTGGTATGCTCTTATGTACTGTATTTCCCACTCTGGGAAAATCTGTGTAGCTGCTCTAGTCAGTGTCAGGAGGGAGAAAAAAGGAGCACAATGCATCCCACAGTTCCATGCCCAAGAAACTCTAGCACATTGCACGGATTTGTAGAGATACATAACCATAAAGATAAAAACAAAAAAGCCCATTGCAGCGGTTGCATGAAACATGGTTTGCTGCATTAGCAGTCACTGCCTTTTCAACACTAAAAGGGCCAACCCAGTTCAGCTAAAAAATTGCATGCAATTTAATTAAAATACATAAATAAGAACATCAAATAGCATTACATATTTCACGAGTTTGAACTCAGCTATATATCTGGGTTCTTTTGCTTCTGAAACCACAGGGAGAGGCTCAGCAACACTACCAAGCATTTAACAAGTAGTTTTTTTACAAGCACTTCAGGACTCACTCAGCATATTTGTAGTGCCATTCTCCGGTGACTGAGTCCTGATCGAACAGCTTGCATGTCCACTCTTCACCCTTAAGTTTCCTCTCTTTGGCACTCCTCCTCTGAGCTTCTTCCAGAACATATTTCTCTTGAGTAGCTTCTGTTTGGTCTTTATTATTTATTGCTCTTGTCACTTGTTGCCAAAGCCTGACAAACGAGCAATATAGAGAGTTACAATCTGGTTGACAGAAATGTTTGCAAACATTTCCTTAATTACAGGCTAAGCAAATGGACCAACCTCTAAACAGAATATTACCATGTCGTCATATGTTTTTTATCTACATTTCCATCAAGACTTTCCATGATTGTAAGGTTTGTAAATAATGACCTTATATTTAACAGTGTTGCATTCTTGTTTTACAGGCCAACATCAGCAAACATGGGAAAGAAAGAAATCATATTTTGGAGAAGATTATGAGTTTTATTTTGTCAAAATAATTATACATGGTTCTAAAGGGAACTTACTTCTCTGACTCGAAGTCATCTTGCTCTTCAAACTTTACTGTGTATCTAGGCAATCTACGCTGCTTGATATCAGATGTCGGGTTCCAGAATGTCTCTGAAACATCTGTCTTCTTGTCACTAATAGTAACTTCACTGTCCTGTAACATATTTAATTCAGTTACTTTAATTGTAACAATCTCAAAGAGTGCCAAAATAACACGAAAGGGAGGAATACGCAATCTTTTTTTGTAACAAGAATTTATTTTCTTTTGGATGCACATAGTTAAGAATAATCAGAGATGCTAACTTTAAAAGTCAATTTCTGCACTCTGTGCTAGTTCTAACTTGGAACAGAGATGCAATGGAACAGTTACCATGTCCAAAACCCAGCGGTGCCAGGGTCATCTCACCTGACCTGAAACAAGTTTAAACATTTCATGCTGATGCCATAACAATTCTTCACAGTACTAACACATATACTA